TCTGCTCATCTACTAATGGGTACCTGGGCTGCTTCCAAATCTTGGCTATTGTAAATAATACATCAATGAACATCGGCAATCATATATTCTCTAGAATCAGTGTTTCGGGTTTCTTGGGATATATTCCCAGAAGTGGAATCACTAGGTCATAAGGCAGTTCCATTTTTAATTTTTTAAGGAAACTCCATATTGTTTTCCACAATGGCTGCACCAATCTGCATTCTCACTAATAGTGCACAAGGGTTCCCTTTTCTCCACATCCTCACCAGGACTTGTTGTTTGTTGACTTATTGATGGCAGCCCTTCTGACAGGTGTGAGGTGATATCTCATTGTGGCTTTAATTTGTTTTTCTCTTATGATTAGTAACTTTGAGCATCTTTTCATGTCTATTGGCCATCTGTATGTCCTCTTTGGAGAAATGTTTATTCAGGTCCTTTACCCATTTTTTAATTAGATTGCTTGTTTCCTTGATTTGAGTTGTATGTTTTTTTATAAATTTTGGAAATTAACCCCTTATAAGATGTATTATTGGCAAATATATTCCATTCTTTGGGTTGTCATCTCATTTTGTTGGTGGTTTCCTTTGCTGTGCAAAAGATTCTGGTTTCATGTAATCCGTTTATTTATTTTTTTTGTTTCCCTTGCCCAAGGACATATATCAGAAAAAGTATTGCTAGGAGGAATGTCTAAGATTTTTCTGCCTATGTTTTCTTTTAGAGTTTTTATTGTTTTGTAATTTACATTTAAGTCTTTAATCCATTTTGAGTTTATTCTTGTATATGTTGTAAGGTGATCTATCTTCATTTTGTTTTGCTTTTATTTGTCCAATTTTCCTAATTCCATTTATTAAAGAGACTGTCTTTACTCCATTGCATGTTCTTACCTCCTTTGTCAAAATTAATTGACCATAAAGATGTGGATTTATTTCTGGGCTCTCAATTCTATTCCATTGATCTATCTGCCTATTTTTATGCCAGTGCCATGGTGTTTTGATTACTGTGGCCTTGTAGTATGGTTTGATACCAGGTATGATGATACCTGCATCTTTGTTCTTCTTTCTCAAGATTGTTGAGGTTATCTGTGACTCCATGTAAACTTTTGGAATATTTGTTCTAGTTCTATGAGATATGTCATTGGTATTTTAATAGAAATTGAATTTAATCTATAGATTGCTTTGGGTAGTATGGACATTTTAATAATGATAATTCTTCCTATTTATGAACACAGTATATGCTTCTACTTATTTGTATGTTCTTCACTTTCTTTCTAAGGTGTCATGTAATTTCCCAAGAACAGGTCTTTTACCTTCTTGGTTAAATTTATTCCTAGGTCCCTTATTTTTTATTTTGTTGCTATTGTAAATTGGATTTTTTTTCATAGTTTTTCTTCCTGATAGTTCATTATTGGTGTATACAAATGCTACCAATTTCTGAATATCAATTTTTTTATCCTGTTACTTTACTGAATTCATTTATTAGTTGTAGTAGTTTTTTTGGTGGAGTCTTTAGGGTTTTATATATACATTATTATGTCATCTATAAATAATGACAGTTTTACTCCTTTCTAATTTTGATGCCTTTTATCTCTTCTTCTCTGATTGCTGTGGCTAGGATTTCCAATACTATGTTGAATAAATAAGAGTGGTGAAAGCAGGCATCCCTCTCTTATTCCCCATTTTCAGGAAAGCACTTTTAAGTTTTTGACTATTGAGGAGAAAGTTGGCGGCAGGTTTATCACATGGTATTTATTATGCTGAGGCATTGAGGTATGTTCCTTCTGTTCCCTCTTTGCTGAGTTTTTACCATAAATTGGTGCTGAATTTTATTGAATGCTTTTTTCTGCCTCTATTGATATGATCATGTGGTTTTTATTCTTCATTTTGTTTATGTGGTGAATCACATTTATTGATTTATGTATATTGTACCAACCTTGCACCCCTGGAATAAACTCACTTTACCATGGTTTATAATCTTTTAATGTGTTGCTGGATCCAGTTTGTTAATATTTTGAGAATTTTAGCATCTATGTTCATCTGGTATACTGGCCTATAATTGTCTTTCATCATAGTGTCTTTATCTGGTTTTATAATTAGGATAATCCTGGCCTTGTAAAATGAGCTTGGGAGTCTTGTCTCCTCTTGAATTTTGTGTTGTAGTTTGAGAAGGATAGTTGTTAGTTCTTCTTTAAATGTTTGGTTAAGTTCATCTTTAAAGCAATCCAGTCCAGGACTTTTGTTGGTTGGGAGCTTTTTTTTTATTATTCTGCTTCATTTTCATTAGTTGTAATCAGTCTATTCAGATATTATGATTCTTTCTGATTCAGATTTGGAAGATTGTATATTTCTAGGAATTATTCATTTTGCCCAGTTTGGCCAATTTGTTGGCATGTAGTTGTTTGTAATATTTTCTTAAAATCCTTTGTTTTTCTGTGGTGTCAGTTGTTAATTCTCCTCTTTCATTTCTGACTCTATTTATTTAAGTCCTCTCTTTTTATTCTTGATGAATCTGGTTAAAGTTTTGTCAATTTTATTTATCTTTTCATAGAATTAGTTCCTTACTTATGGATTGTTTATATCATTATTTTTAGTCTCTATGTCACTTATTCCCACTGTAACCTTTATTACTTCCTTCCTTCTACTCACTTTGGGCTTTGTTGTTTTTTTTAATTCTTTTAGGTGTAAAGTTAGATTGTTTATTTGAGATTTTTCTTTTCCTTGAGGCAGGCCTGTAATGCTACACATTTCCCTCTTAGGACTTCTTTTGCTGTGTGCCATAGCTTTTGGATTGTTGTGTGTTCATTTTCATTTGTGTGAAGGTAACTGTTGATTTCTTCCTTAATCTCATTGTTAACCTGTTCACTACTTAGTAACATGTTATTTAGTCTCCATGTGTTTGAGTGTTTTTAATTTTTTTCTTATAATTGATTTCTAGTTTTATACCGTTGTGGTCAGAGAAAATGCTTGATATGATTTCAGTCTTCTTGAATTTGTTAAGACTTGTTTTGTGTCCTAACATATGGTTTGTCCTAGAGAATGTTCCATGCACATTTGAAAAGGTTGTATATTCTACTACTTTTGGACGAAATGTTCTACAAATATCAATTAAATCTATTAGTTCCAGTGTGTCATTTAAGGTCACTGTTGTCTTGTTGATTTTTTATCTGGGAGCTCTATTCATTGATGTCAAAGGGGTGTTAAAATCCCCTACTGTAACTGTGTAATTGTCAACCTTTCACTTTATGTCCACCAAGATTTTCTTTATGTATTTGGGTGCTCCTATGTTGGGTGCAAATGTTCACAAGGGTTATATCCTCTTATTAGATCAATACTTTTAGCATTATATCATGTCTTTCTTTGTCTCATTTTGGCCTTTGTTTTCAAGTCTAATTTATCTGATATAAGCATTGCTACACCAGCTTTTTTCTTTTCCATTTGCATGAAATATCTTTTTCCATCCTTTCACATTCAGTCTGTGTGTATCTTTTGTTCTGAGATGGGTCTCTTGTAGATAACATACATATATGGGTCATGTTTTTTTTTTTACCAGTTCAGCTATTCTTTGTCTTTTCATTGGAGCATTTACTCCATTTACACTTATGGTTATTATTAATAGGTACTTATTTATTGCCATTTTATTCTTTATACCTATATTTCTGTATTTCTTCTTAAAGTAGGTCCTTTACATTTCTTGTAATACTGGTCTGGTGGTAATGAACTCCTTTAGCTTTTTTTTTTTTTTTCCTGTCTGGGAAACTGTTTATTTTGCTTTGAATTTTAAATTCCAGCTTTGCTGGGTAAATAGTCTTGGTTGTAGGTCCCTGTTTTTCATCACTTTGAATATTTCATGCCTATCCCTTTTGGCCTAAAGTGTCTCTGTTCAGAAATCATCTGACTGTCTTATGGGAGCTCCCTTGTAAGGTAACTAACTGTTTCTTGCTGCTCTTAAAATTCTCCCTGGCTGGCGTAGCTCAGTGGATTGAGCGCGGGCTGCGAACCAAAGTGTTGTAGGTTCGATTCCCAGGCAGGGTACATGCCTGGGTTGCAGGCCACAATCCCCAGCAATCACACATCGATGTTTCTCTCTCTCTCTTTCTCTCTCCCTTCCCTCTCTAAAAAATAAATCTTTTTTTTTTTAAAGGAGAGGATGTACATGTACACTCTATACACGTCTATGTGTGTTTTCTGGAGGCAGGTATTGCACAGATGTTTCTGGGAGGATACTGTTATCAATAGTCAGTCGGGTGGGATACTGAGGAATATGGGTGGAGAGCATATGAGGCACAACTTTGGGCTACTTTACATTATTTTGGTGTCATTGGGGTCCTGTGTGAATTATGATACTTTATTATTACAGGCCAACACTTAGAATTTCTGGCTTCTTTTGGGAGACAGTTTTCCATGGGTCCTTTGCATTCCAGTGTATCTTGCAAACAGAGGCACTGGCTGCCTTTATTCCAGATTCTCTTTTCAAGGACTATGTGTACGGCGAACAGGCTTGGAAGACAGACATTGTCTCCCTTGTCTCAAGAAAGAAACAACAGATTGTTTCTTTCTTGGAGCTAAAGGCAGTTTGGTTTACTGTCCAGTATACCTTCTCCTGGGGCAGCAAGTCAGGCACACGTGCTGTTTGTCTGTCATAGATTAGTTTCCTAAACTCAAGGACCTTCTCCACACAATCCGATACATGTGTAAGCATCACTAGCACTCTGTGTCACTCTGTGAGAGCTGGGCCTCAGGGAACTGATTCAAAATTAATACTCTAGCCTTTGCTATTGCTGTGAGTAATAAACTGTCTTTTAACTTTCCTATAGGAGTTTGTGTCTTCTGCTACTATTCCTGAAACTGGCAGGCTAACACCTCAAGTGCCACACAGACATAGGAGCTGGCCTCCCCAGCAGCTTCAGCCTGATGGCACGATCATGAAGCAAAGGGAGTTATCTATCCTGGAGCAAACTGCGACAAGTAGATAAACATTCACACTCTCTCTCCTTCTGATGGGCTTTTATTTGTATAAAAATTTTATTTATTTTTAGAAAGGGGGAAAGGATGGAGAAAGAGAGGAAGGGAAACATGATGTGTGAGAGAAACATCAATGTGTTTGCCTCTCCTACACTCCTAACTGGCGACCTGGCCAGCAACCCAGACATGCACCCTGACTGGGAATTGAACCAGCAACCTGTTGGTCTGCAGGCCAGTGCTCAGTCTACTGAGCCACAACAGTCAAGGCCCAATGAGCTATTTTTAAACAGATTGTTTCTTTCTAGACTATCCAGAGATGTCCCCTGGTATCGAAGTGAGTTCTTTTTGTGAATGCAGTAGCTGGCTCGGTAACAACTATTTTTTCCCTTGTTCTGTGATTCTTGATCATCTAAAAATCGTATTTTTTTTCTTAAGCCTATCAGAACTGATATTGCAAAGCAATTCAGTTAACTGAATTCTAAAGATGGACCTGCCTCTCCAAGGAGAGATGGGGCACATGACTTCTTCACAGAGCACAGAGAAATGGCTGCTTTATAAGCTGCAACGAAATCTGAAAAAATTCTGCATTCTTGGTAATTGTGAGTTAGCATCTCAGTTTGGAATGTACTGATAGCTGGAGTCCCAGACACAAGGGATTACTGCACTCACTCATAAGCTTTTTTGATTCTCTTCCACTGGGTGCTCAGGAGAAAGATTTGGGGCAGGAGAAGAGCATGGAACAAGCCCCCCACCCCAGGAAGACAGACACACAGTACAGCTGCTCTTCCTGGGGACAGACATACAAGCCCTCTGTGAGCAAAGCCACAGGCTGCTGGACGGTCAGCATTCTCCCAGGGCACAGGCACTGCTTGTGGGGGAGGAGTAAAGCAAACTCACCCTGTCTCAGGGTTGGAATAGGAAACCCTGTCACGCCCAGGACAAGATCCTTGAAGGAAAACTTGAAGCAAAAGTCTACACTGTGGGGAGAGGAGAAGATAATTTGTCACCTAGTATCCTCCACTGACACTGCTGCTGGAAGAGCAGGAAATTCCTGCTTAAGGCCAACCACAAGCACATGGGGAGGATAGGAATGCTGACAGCAGGCTCCCATAGGAGGCCCAGGAGCACACGGCTGGACTAAGACTGTTCCCACTGCCCTATCATGAACCTAGCACAGACTAATGAGAGACAGTTTTTCCTTGGGGGGAGGCAGGGGCATAGAGTGGGAATTCCTCGATGGCTAAGGCATGCAGAGACATATGAATGCTGGAGATGAAGCACGAACACCATGGAGGGAAAACCTCATTGCCATCCTGTTCTCCACTATAAGCACAAGGCATCCACAGCTCACCACTGGTGAAATTTGAAGACTGGTGCTCTGCAGATAACAACACAAACCTGACTCAAGTTCTTGCAAGACTGATCCAACCTCCAATACTGGCCTAAGAGGCATACATTCATACCCAGGCATATATGTTATTTTCCTCAGATTGCTTTTTTTTTCTACACAGTCAGTGCAATTCAATGACTCAGGGAAAAAGAACAAGGCAGGGGGAAGAGGAACCTGTCAAGAGATAAAGTGATGAACAGAACTAGACTCAGAGATGACCCAGATATTGGGATTTTGTCAGAGACTAAAATTCCTATATTAAAGGACATAACAGAAAAAGTGAGCAGTATGCATTGACAAAGAATTTCGGCAGAGAGACTAAAACTATAAAAGATAAATGGGAATACTAGGAATAAAAAGCATATCAGAAATGACAATGTTTTCAACAGGTTCATTAGAACAGACACAGATGAGGAAAGTTTCAAGAAATTTGAAGATAGGTAAAAAGGAACCACAAAGGGGACGGGGTTGAGGTGCAGAAATGAATGAAAATCAAAACCAAACAGCCAGAAACCACCAAAACAGAGCATTGGAGTAGTGGGACTATAATAAGTAATCTAATGTACTTGTAATAAAAATCCCAGAAGGAGAAGCAGGAGAGAAGAGGGCAGAAGAAATATTCGAAGAGGTAACAGCAAAGAACTTTTTAGAAATAATAACAAAATTTCAAGCCATAGATCCAACAGGATAAATTCCCCAAACAAACCACACACACCTAGATACATCATGATCAAACTAATGAAAATCACATTTAAAATTTTGAGAGCAGCAAGAGAAAAAAGAAACACATTAAAAAGGACAAAAATAAGATGGGAGAGTACTCATCAAAACAATAGAGTGACATCTTGAAAGAAATAAAAGTTAACCCAGCATTCTGTGCTCAGTGAGTCTTTCAAAATAAAGGGTTTATATGTGTGTGTGTGTTTTCCAGATAAACCAAAGTTGGGAGAATCCATTGCTGGAAGACTCATAATACAAGAACTATTAAAGAAAGTTCTTCAGGTGCAAGTACGAAACCAGATGGAAACTTGGATGCACATAAGAAAAAAACTGTTGTGTAACAAATAACCCCCAAAACTCAGTGACTTAAAACAGCATTTCTCAGAGTCTGTGGATCAGGAACTCATCAGTGTGGCTGAGTGGTTCAGAGTTGCCCACGTGGCTGCAGTCACCTGAAGGCTCGACCGGGGCTGGAGGACCCACTTCCAAACTCATTCCGTTTCTATGACTACTTGGAGGAGGCCTTAGTTCCTCAACATGTGGGATTCTCCATAGGGCTATTTGAATGTTCTCATCTGGCTTCTAGTGCAGTGATCTGAGAGAAAAACAGAAGCTTTATTGTCTTCATGACCCAGCATTAGAAATCACACATTTCTACCTCTGTCTGTTCATTAGAAGGGAGTCACTACCACCTGCACTTCAAGAGGAAATGGAATTAGACTGTCCCAAAGGGATGCATATCAAAGAATTTGTGGACACTTTTAAAGCACCACACACAGCAATTATAAATTATATATGAATAATGGAATTGATATAGGCCTACACTTCTTCCCGTGAGTGTCGCATTCAAGGACGACTGCACAGACTGTTCCCTCCTGGGTGGTCCAGCAGAAATAATATAAAAACCCGAAATGAAAAAGGGAAACCACAGCTTCAAAGACTTAATGGCTGCAGAAATATGCAGAGGCCATGGCCCGATACTACAATAACACCAACTGCCTGATACTGTCACCAAATACACCTTTGTACAGAAGAAGGCAGCTATTAACCTGCTTTTGTTGAAACTAAATGCATGACTCATGGAGGCCTTGTGACTCTAGTTTGACATCCCACATGGGAGTGGGTCAACGTGGACTTAGTGCCTAACAAGGTGAAAAAGTGAACAAGTCTTGCAAGACAAACAGAAATAGTATATTTAAGAGTGTTGCTGGCCTAACCCTAGCAGCTTTTTGGTGCTATGAAAAAGTGGCAACTATTCCTTTGAGGGTAAACTTGATGCCTCTCTCTGCCACCTAAAGCAAAACTGCTGGCTCGATAGGGCTTTTGACTCACAGATACTCCTCTCAACTCCAGGGCCTAGATCACTGATTGGCCAAGTTGAAACCTAACGGGGACCAATGGGCTGCTAGCACCAGTGGTTCAGCCTTGGTACCAGCTATGTAAAACCAAAAGCAGATATGGGCACTCCTCTCAGTGCAGAGAACTCCAAGTAGTCATGGTTAACCCTCCCCTTGGTGAACCTCACTACATGTTTTCTAACTTTTACATTGTCACCAATGGCTTGTGTGGTCAGCCATGTGAAAAACGAAAGACTGGCAGATTAAGGGTACCTCTGTTTGGGCATGAATCTTACATAAGTGATCAACTTCCCTGATTGTTAAAGAAATAGATACCACTTTTTCCTATCACAATGACAAAAATCAAAAAGATTAGCAATGTCCAGTATTAGCCAGGGAATGGATGCAAAATTATTCTCAAGCACTGCTGAGGGCCTGTAAATTGGTACTCTTTTTGAAAGACAACTTGACTGAAAATGCATATACACATTGACTGAATGATACTACTTCTAAATAACTGCTGAAGAAAAACATCTAAGAGGCATGTACTCACATGTTTATAAAGTGAGAGTAACCCTCTATTAAATTTTACTCTCCCATTACCTATTATTATATCTTTATAATTGCCACCAAACTTTTAGAATCTACAAACTGTACATGTCAACCTCGATGCCCCCCACCTGCCCAGGATCCTACTGCAACTTTTTTCAAAGGGTCACAATAACATTATTAAAACAATGTCCTGTTACCAATCATCTTTTTGTATAGAGCAGTCAACACGGACTGAATTTACATTTAATTTCTACCTTGTGCTTTCACATATAATGTTTTACATATAATTCATACGACCTCATTAAAACCCCTATGAAATAGATGGTATCAATCCTCCTTACAGATGAGGAAACAAACTCAGAGCACCTTGCCCAAGATCACAAACTGTCGTTTAGGAAGACGAGCCCAGAATATCTAAGGGTCAAGTCCAGTGCTCCTCTTAGTAATGACCAGTCCTGGAACCCTCTACTGGCTTCCTTAGAGTTCTTTTTCTATTATTTAACAAAAGGAAAGGTCAGGATAATTAGAATAAGGCCTAGCATACACAAAGACCAAGTACTCATATTACTGACTTTCTAGAATCATACAGAAGCTAATCCAAGGGTTCAAAATTATATGCACTCAATTAATTTAAATTCCCATTAGGTTATCACAGAATTAGATGGAAACAACCAAGCAAATATTGTTCATAGCAATTGGCAGACTTTAATATTCAAGAAGAATCAAGCCCATCATACACATTAAAAATACAGGAAATTTCATGCAGACATGAAGCTTCCAATTCAGCCTTTGTGGCAACTTTTAGAAGGAGAATTACATATAAATACAGTACATTTTACAATTCCAAAACTTCATAATTTTATACTGTGATTTATACAGCTTCTCTTTACATTTTACATATCCCACCTTGCTCACTTGATTACCATACCCTAACCTGCACCACTTCATTGGGGGGAGGGAAATAAACAGCAAGCACAATGACCTATCTCCTTCTGTTTATGAGAATGAATGAAAACATTTGTGTATAAAGCTAACTTAAGAAAAAAGTAAAAAACTGTTAAGGCTTACACATTTTAGCAGTATTACATATAAGAAATAGAAAATTAAGTCTTCCAATGACACTTCTGTTGATTAATACCACTGTTTTCAAGTTTAGAATATATTAACTGAAAGCTTTAAGAGGAAAAAAAGCAATGCAAATTTGTGTAAAACATTTAAGTGTTCATTATATAAGGGAGAAATTAAAAACAAAATAACTGATTTCAGAATTAACTAAAATATAAGCTACAATTTATAAATGTAAGTAACATTATTAAAGAATAAAACCTGATAGCAGAAACTTTACGTAATAAAGCCAACCCACCAGTTTCAACCAGTTTTTGCCTAAGAAGAACAAGATTATCTGTTTTGACTAAAAAAGTGAATACTAGTCAGTGAATAAAAAAAACCTCTTCTAAATTACTCAAAACAGTATGCATTCTTTCAGTAGATTTTTAAAAAATACCTAGGTTCCTTTTAAGTCTCTTTCTTAAAAATAATAATACATAATTTTGGGGAGCAATTTTTTCAAGTTTATTTACATGGTAAAAATGAGAATTTCTACTAAAAGAACATCTGCCAAGTACTAAGGTACACACAGAAAAAAAGAAATCATTAAAAAAAAACAACCCTCAGCAGGTTATAGGCTTGCACAAACTGACAAGTAGAATCAGCTTCATAGACTCCTTTGCTGCATAATGGGCACAAAGGGCAAAGAGCTCCCTTACTACAGGCAGAAAGGTCCCTATTATTAGTGAGATGCCAAATTGTGTCGTGACTCCCACAACCCAACTGGCCATAAAAGTTTAAAGACTTACAAGTAGAATTTCCTGTTGAAACATGGCATTTATGCTACCAGCACATTATTGAGATTAAGTTTATCTAATCCAAATGGCCATAGAGAGGTCACTTAATCCCATCACAATAACGTGTGAAAATATTCAAGAGTATTTCCTTTTCTCCAAGAAAAGGTTAAAACATTATATTTGTCATCCCTACTTTCCAAGCTACAGGAAATAGAATAATTAACATAAAAACACAAAGATAAACTCCCTCCAATAAAGACCTGCTAGAGGTAGAAATTTAAAACAGCACATACTGTTTTAGCCCCAGCTATCAGGGAACAAAACTGGTGTTAATCTAAATCATATTAATGGCTGCTGCTTACAATATAGAAGACACAGGCCACGGGCAGTAATTTATCCCTGAATTTCATACTCAAAATTTCCCCGCATTAATACTTTCATGACAGTTTTTACTAGTATATAGTTGTTTTAATGAAAAAAAAAGTGCTTGCTCTTGCATCCAGGTAATCTAAAAAAAAAAAAAAAAACATTACTGTAAACATCTCACTGACCGACTGTATTCATTTTTAGTTTGAAATCATACTTTTCAAATGGGCAGATTTTAGTCTTATTTCCCCAGTTTCCTAACAGTACCTTTAATAAAGGCTTTTGAGCCTCACTTAAGATTGTTGAAATTTTCATACATTTCAGAGTGATCCATGATGAGTATACTTTTAAAAAGTGTTCAGTTTAGTGACCAAAAGACTTACTAATTTCTTGGTTACTTGAATGAATTTTTACTGGCCTGTAATACTATTAAATTTAATATTTCATAAAAATGAAAGGTTTGATGCTTCTGTAAATTCAGCTGAGCTAGAAAAAAACAATGATTTGAATAATAAAAGAATAGACACATTTTATGTAGGTCTAATGTATGCTTAGGTCTAAGTGAATGAAAGTCTCAATTCCAGATGTTGAATGAGAGGATCCTTAGACTCTTCTAAAAATAACATGTGCAATGCATACAAAACAAAAAAAGAAGGAGATTACTATGGACTTCAATACTATTACTTGTTAGTATGGCAGACTTGGAACGGACAGCTTCATGAAGACACTAAAGTTTTTTCTACTGAAAGACAATTCTGGGTTTCAAGCAAAAGGTAAACTTGAAAGTATTTCCTCAGTTTTTACTTGTGTAATACAAATATGCATGGCATAGTATATTTCTGAAAAAGCGATAGACATAAGAAAATAGACACTATTTCTAAACTTTGTTAGGAATAAGAAGGCACCACTGATTTGAGGTTGCATCCTGTCATTTGATAGTTGTTTCTGAGTTGTTTATTTCAGGATTTGCTCTTATTAAACTTTTTTCCCTGGTGGTATCATTTGAGACTATTATTGTGGCTTACGAACCACAAACAAGACACATTCATAGTAGTATTTCATCATGGAGAGATCGTTCACAGTATACGTTGACAAGACAGATTCTTTTTCCACCTGTAATGCAAACAATCATAACGATGACGATGACCACCATGATGACAATGTTAACAAATACTGAGCACTTCTGAGTGGCAGATACTATTTTACACATATTCTAGATACTAATTCATTTCTTACCTACAAGTACTACCATCAGATTGGTACTACTTTACAAAGAACAGGTTATTCGAGGTCACACTGCTCATAAGTGGTAGATCTGGGGTTCATACTCAGGCAGTCTAACTCCAGAGCTTGAACTCTAAGCTACTATAATATATTGCTTCTCTTTACCTTTAAGAACTAATTTGTTGTTTAATTTTAAAATGAATGGAATGCTTCTAATTAACATACAGCTAAAATACAAGTCAAAGTATCATACAACCTTATAATAACATACACAATAAAAAAGGCTGAACAGCACACAAGGGCATACAGTAAACAATATCCTTCTTACACCTGCCATCCCACCCCAGCTTGCTTACCTAGAGCTCAGTCTATGTGGTTGGTAACTATCAGTCTACAAAGGCCAACATTATGATAATGGTAAGCTACTATTTATTGAAAGGTGATTATACCAAGGATATAGTTTTCCATTTGCATACACATTATCCCAAATCCTTATATTCTAAAAACTATTCATTTATGGATGAGAAAACAGAAAGGTCAAGAGGTAAAGCCAGTAAATGCCATATCACCATTCCTAGTTAAGTGCTTTGGAAGTTAAATTTTGGCAACACTTCATTCTCTCCTTACCTCTAGCTGGAATCCGTACTGCAGAACAACATTTTTTAGATCCTCATAGCTCAATTCTATGGAAAGTTCATTGGCCAAATTTTCAAAGTGGTACAGCAGAGGACCTATGGTTTAAAAATACTATGAATGAATTACCTGAATATAAGCATGCATTAATAGCTGTGTTAAGCAGAACTCCAAGGTGAATAATAAGTTGGGTAGTAGTTAAAAAAGGAGAAGTAAAGAACATTTACATTTGCCAAAGACATTTACCCAGATCTCTGAAATTTTGGCCCAGTAACTGACATTCGAGCGCTGGACCTACAGTCACAGGAGGGAACACCTCTAGTATATCAACTTGTATTGTCATTCTCCATATCATGGAATTTATACATGTAATTCTTAAGATACTGAAAGATTAGCTGAATCAGAGAATGCTAAGTTCCCAAACCCCAAAGGTATACCATAATTATAGTTCCATAAGTAAATGCAAAACTGTAGCTGCAAACTGGTTATCACGTGAAAACAGAGGAGTCCTCAAGCTAGCAGGTGATTGGAGGTGAGAGGTAGTAGGGAGAGTTAGAGACAAGGCTGCCTGGAATGAAGAGATGACACTAAGCTGGTTTCTCAAATGCACAGCTCATATCCTAGCTCTATCGCCAACTAATTATGTTCCCATTGGCAAGTCACCAACTCCGCCCCATCTGTAACATGACATTAATGTGAGATATATAATGTGAGATAGTTGTAATGCATCAAGATACAGAAGGCACTAAGTAAATGATAGCTTTTACGATTTTTTTAAAATAACAGCCCCCTTTTCTATTCTCTCATTGTATAGAAACTATATAGTTTCTATAAAAGAAACTATAAATGAAAAAAGAAACTATCATTTGACTGAAAAGAGACTTTCCAATCTTTTAATGTCACGCTTCCCCCAATCCATCTGACTTATCCAGGAAACATTATCATCCCACAGTTACACTTTAGCACTAATGGAGACACTCTTCTCCTTACCTTTCAATGAGTCACTAAATTTTGCCATGTATAATGCATATTTTTTTGCCCAAATTTTTTGGGGAAAAATAAAGATGCACATTATACATGGGTAGTACTAATTCTATATCTATATAAATGTTTTTAATTCTTTTACTTATGCTTATACAGTAAAAATGTAACTTTAGAAAGCGATAATGATATCTATATGCAATTTAATACCCTAGCATATGATAATCGGTTTTGTTTCTAAATATAAATAAATATATAATTGAATTAAAAATTAAAATGAAAGGTTTTTTCCCTGAAAGTTTAAGCCAAAAACTAGGGTGTGCACCATACACAGAAGCACATTGTATGTGGCAAAATAGGGGTGATTATAAATCCGTGACCAACTCAAAAGCCCCACCCCATTCTCACTCCTCATACAGTGTACTAATCACAGAAGATAAATAACAAAGAGGACCAAGTTTCTGCTCCCCAAAGGCTTACGGCTCTATGGAACATACTTAGGGTTTAAAAGTTTTTATTCTTCTCATTTTTTTATCCTAAATAAGCCACTTGACAATTGTAACTAAATATAATTACTACATTAGTGCTCTTTTCAAAATATAACAGTGTTCCCTATCAAACTACTTCCATCAAGCTTAAATTCCTGTTAGTTTCATTAGTACTAGTCAAAATAACGGTAGTGGCCACAGAGCACCTGCTGAACCCTAGGCCATCAGGAAGGCTTTGAAGCCTTTTTATGGCTTCATGAGGGACGCAGACCCTCATGGCAGTCTTTCCAGCTCTCAAGCACATGCTGTTCCTGCTCTATTATTTGAAAAGCCTCCAACAATACTGTTTTATAATATCAACATGAAAACATTCCACTAGTTCTTACAAACTCAGACCACATTTAACTTCTCTATTCATGTTGTGTTCCACCTAGAAAGCTCCAACTCTCCAACTCAATTTTTAGCCATGATCCAAAACTTTGCTGAAATCAAGTTTTAATATAATCCATCCCAGTTTCCAGCCCTACTGCTTATGCCCTTAATATAAACTGCTTTAAAACTTATTCAATGCAGTGTTACACTGCTCACTGATTACTTTTCACATATGAGGCACTTTTTAAAATTACAAGCTACGTGAGTAAAAAGATCATGTCAAGCTTCTTCTGAGTCCATGATAATGCCTGGCATAACACTGAATGTACAGTTAGGCGTACACTCTTCTACTACAAATGGTCCTTTAATATCTCTGTGCATACTTCAGGGTTTCTTTACAAAGACATTCCTTGAAGTGGAATGTCCAAGTCAAAGAGAATAAACATTTTTACTAACTTGATTCAAACTGCCACCATGCTTTCCAAAAGAGATGTAGGAGTTTTCACTCACGATTGCAATGTGCACTGGTTTCAACACTTAGCAAGTACTGGGAAGGGACGGTACAGTCACTTTGGATAACAGGCTGGCAGCTGTAGAACTTTACATACACGCATCACACATGACCCAGCAATTCCACCACTAGGTACTTAATTATAATAATTTGGGAACAACCCAAATGTTCATAAACTAGTGAATGAATAAACAAAATGAAGTACATAGTGGAATATTTCCCAGCAATAGAAAGAAACAAAATGCTGTTACATGCAACAAAAATGGATGAACTTCAAAAATTATGCCAAGTGAAGGAAGTCAGACTTACAAGATATTCTGGAGAAAGAAAAACTACACTAACAAAAAACTGACTAGTGACTGCCATGTATTGGGGTGAGGAGAGAGAACTGATTACAAAGGGGCACAGGGGGACTTTTTGGAGTAGTTGAAATGTTCACTGTCTTGATAGAGGTAATAATGGTCACATAATCCAGCTTTTAAATTACAGCAAACTGGACACTTAAAAAGGGGGTGAATTTTATGTCCATTATCCCTTCCAAAATATCTGACTTTAAAAGAGACAATAAGCATTTTTATTAAACACAGTATTTGCTAATTTGGCAAGGGAAAAATATCGGCCATATGTAGTTTTATCTGTTTCCTCAAGACCGAGCAGTTTTTCATATTTACTACCTAGTCACTCATTCTTTATTTCTATTTACTTATTTATTTAATACTTGTAGATGAATATTTCCATTGATTCTAGAGGGAGAGGAAGGGAAGGGGTGGGAGGGAGAGGGAGAGAGCATGCATGCACGAGAGACCAGAGTGGGGCGGGGGGAGAGAGAGAGAGACACTGATCGCCTGCCTCCCAGACCCAGACTGGGTGAACCCACAACCTACATATGTCCCCTACAGGATCTAACCCACCACCTTTGGTGTACAGGATGATGCTTCAAATAACTAAGCACCCATCCAGGGTGAGTCACTCATTCTTTTTTCTTCTTTTTTCTTCTTTTTTTTAAAAAATATTTTATTTATTTGTTTTTAGAGAAAGTGGAAGGGAGAACGAAAGAGAGGGTGAAAAACATTGATGGTTGCCTCTCCTTAGTGCCCCAACAGATACCTGAAACCGCAACCCAGGCATGTGCCCTGACCAGGAATCAACCGGCAACCTCCACTTCACAGAACAACGCCCCACCAACTGAGCAGCAGTGGTCAGGGCTAGTCACTCATTCTTTAAATGAGTGTTTACCAAGCACCTAGTAAATGCCTGGCAGTGGCTATATAAAGATGAATAAATCATGGACATACCCCTGAGGAGTTTTAAAAAATTTTCTCAACTGCTGTGTTTCTTCACATTCTTCTAGTGGACTTAACAGAGGAAAGACACAGTTTTTTCCTTGACCGTAAGTATAAAGCAAGCTCATAATAAAAAACTAACATGAAAAAAAAGCATAAAAACCCCATCTCTAATCCTAACACTGACAACCACTTGAAAACTTGCTGTATATCCCTGTAGTCTTTCCTTGATACATTAATATGAGATATTAATATATTTTGTTTTTCATCTTACACTTCATTAGGAACATGTCCCTATTTCATAATCATTTTTGGAGAACAATTTTACTATATGGCTACCCTATGACTATTTATCCATCCATTACTGCTAGAAACGTAGGCTCAGTCTAAGTTTTTGCCAAATATGTTTGTCCACTCATCAGTTTTTAGTCTTTGCCCATATCTTAATTTTCTCTAACAGACTTCTACAAGTATAATTAATCTAACAAAGTTTTGTAGTAATGAATGCAATTATATAGTAGGCTGGATGGCAAATATTTTAGGTTTGTGGACCATATACAGTCTCAACTACATATTCTTATTTTTATCTTATACATCTCCAACCCTTTAAAATGTGAAAAATAGTCTTAGTTGCTGGGGCTATACCCAAAAAAAGCCGAAGGCCAGATTTGGCCTGTGGACTCTAGTTTGCCAAATCCTAACCCTGTCCAAATGTATGTATGGATTGTTAAGATTTTCCCATGTATTATCAAATTGTTTTTCCTGAAGAAAGCTTTATTACTATATTCCTACCAGCAATGTATATATTCACTGTATATTTACCATCTCACTGTACCTTATCTAAACTTTAAGTAAAATATTTAAAAACCTACCCAATAGGTGAAAAATGACATCTCATTTATATTTTAAAAAAATTTCATCCTCACCCAAGGACATTTTTAAATTGCTTTTAGTAGAGAGAGGAAGGAAGAGCAGGAGAGAGAGAAACATCAACACGAGAGAGAAGCATCAACTGGCTGTCTCCTGTACACGCTGGACCAGGACTTGTATTCATCAGATCGGGGATCCAACCTGCAACTTAGGCACCTGCCCTAACATGAAATCAAACCTGCAACCTTTTGGTTGTAGGGCAATGCTCCAACCACCTGAGCCACCTCGGAGTAGTGTTCTCTTAAAGACTTTCGCTTTTCTTCCCTAATTTCTTTTTTAATCCTCACCCAGGCCATTTTTCGTTGCTTTTTAGAGACACAGGGAGAGACAGATTGACAGGAAGGCAGGCAGGCAGAGAGACAGATATTGATGTGAGAGAGAAACATCGACTGGTTGTCTTCATGTACATGCCCCAACAGGGGATCAAACCTGCAACCTGGGTATGTGTGCTGAACAGAATAGAACCTGCAACCTTTAGGCCCACCGGACAATGCTCCGACCAACTGAGCCACATCAGCCAGGGCCCCTTTCCA